AAGAGGTTCCTACTGGCCAAAAATTATCATTGGAGCATCAATAATAATGACCATGGCAATTGGTTTTCATGTGTGTTTACATGCATGAGTTCATTCAAAAGAGAGAAAACTTAATGACCATCTGAAAGAATCAACTCATTGTTTTGAAAACTGGCAAATACAGACAGAAGAATCAAGTGTTTATCCGGCCATTATTATAGAAATTAACCTCAGGGTAACCAAATAGTTGATGAGAGAAAGTTTCCCTTGGTAGAAGAATTCTAGCTAAATGAAGACGAAAAGAATTAGGATATCACCATTTCATAACCCCTTGTGATTTAATGAATCTAGGCAGTAATCATTAGTGACTTCTAATATTACAACAAAAGGTTATCATGCATTCAATGCCCTCTGCTGAAAGAGTTTTTAACTTCCAAGCCTTTAGATCTACCAATTTATACCAAGTACAAGGAACAAAAGAATATGTGAAACATTCTCTTAAGGGGGCCATCAGCAAGATCCAGACTGTGGGAAACCCCACAGGCCAAAGGACTCAGTGTCTCCAACTAATAGCCTGGTGTGCTGCAGTCCACGTGGTCGCAAAGAGTCAGACACGACTGAGCGACCGAACAACAACGAAAAACAACTATAAATCACAGGGGAAAACTAGAAGAGGGAAAGGAAAGGCATAGTTTGTAAAAGAGGCAGCAATGTTCACGTGTTCAACTGTGCGACATCAAGGAATGCGGCTCTTCAGGCTCCTCTACCCAGCGGATTCTCCAGGCAAGCATCCCGGAGTGGGTTGCCATTCCCTACTCCAGGGGATCTTTCTGACCTAGAGATCGATCCTGCATCTCCTGCAGCTCCTGCATTGCCAGGCAGATTCTTTACCACTGCACCACTTTGGAAGCCCAGCGAATTGTAATATGTGGACTTTCTTTGGATTCTGATTCAAACAAAATGAAAACAACAAAGACAACAACAAGGAGAAATCTGAACATTTCTAGTTTGCTTTTTTAATGATATTCAAAAACTATTGCCGAGTATTTCTGGTTGTAACAATGGTGTTATGCTTATATATATATATATATTTTTTTTTTTTCTTTCTGACCTTTGGTGATATACACGAAAATATTTACAGATAAAATGAAATGATGGCTGTGATTTGCTTGAAGTAATTTTGCAGGTGAGGAGAAAGTGGATGGAGGTACACGTGTATTAAGATTGGTCATGAGTTGGAACTGGCATGGATTACATGAGAGTTTACTATTTTGTGTATGTGTGTTTAAACTTTTCCATTAAAGGTTAGATGATCCAGAGCTCCTGTTTGAGTTTCCTGAGCCATGAAGCAAATTCCCGTTGGCTATCTATTTTCCGTATGGTAATGTAAGTTTCCATGTTACTCTTTCCATACATCTCACCCTCTCCTCCCCTCTTCCCATGTCCATAGGTCTATTCTAAAATTTTAGCTATCAAAATAGTGAAGATTATTGTTAATAATGAACATCTCTTGTTGATAATGTGGTGACATGGCTGACCTCGTACCTCGCTAGTGGGCATGTAAGTTGGAAGATTCTGGAGAGCCAGTCAGCAATATTGACTGAGTCTTGGAAACATTTATACCTCTGAGCCTATTGTTATGCTTTCAGGAATTTGTAGGTATCGATATGATCAGAGATGCATATATAGATGTCTGTGATAAATGGTTCATAAGAATTTTGTCTGTAATCAAGAAAAATTGAAGCAACTTAAATTTCCAAAAAGAAAAAAAGGAGCATTTAAATAAATTACAGGAATCAATACCTTGAACTATTAGGAAATCCTTAACATGTATGTTTAACTGCGAAAGAATGAATATATATGTGTGGGAAAGAATGAATATATATGTGTGCATGTATATGTGTGTGTGTGTATAACTGAATCACTTTGCTATACACCTGAAACATAATAAGTCAACTATTTGTTGATGTTGCTCAGTCGCTAAGTTGTGTCCAATTCTTTGTGACCCCATAGACTGCAGCATGCCAGGCTTCCTCTCCTTCACTGTCTCCTGGAGTTTGCTCAAATTCATGCCCATTTAGTTGGAGATGCTATCTAACCATCTTATCCTCTGTTGCCCTCTCCTCTTTTTGCCCTCAATCTTTCCCAGCATCAAGGTCATTTCCAATGAGTTGGCTCTTCACATAAGGTGGCCAAAGTGTTGGAGCTTCAGCTTCAGCATCAGTCCTTCCACTGAATATTCAGGGTTGATTTCCTTTAAGATTGACTGACTTGATCTCCTTGCAGTCCAAGGGACTCTCAAGTCACTCAACTATACTTCAATAAATAAATAAATAAACTATAATTCAATAAAAAATAAATATTATTCATCCTCCTGAAAAAATGAATGAATAACTGACACAACATGAATGAATCTTAAAACATTATGCAGAAAACAAAAATCGGACCCAAAAAATGAGAATATACCACTTGTACCCATTTATATGGAATTCTAGAACAGGTAAATCACATTAGTGGTTGCTTTTGAGGTGAGTCCAGGAATTAATTTGTAAAGAACATGAGGCAACTTTCTGGCCAGACAGAAACATTCTTTGAACATATTAGTGTGTGCTAATTGGGTTTATCCTTTTGTCAAACTCATCCCCCTATACCTACTTACATCCTGGTCAGACTTCATGGAAGATCTTGCCTTTGGTGCTAAACAAGTTATACCTCAAAAGATCATGTTTTCCAAGATTTAATAACATAGGTAAAATATTCAATGTATGGTCTTAATTTGAAAAAAAAAGAATCATGATACAATGCCGTGGATGTAGCACAGTCCTAATTATACAAAAGAAAATACATGAGTACAGACAATGATACAGAGAAAAGATTGGCAAGAAGGATATATTCTGATGAACATGTACAACTTTCATTATTAGTAAAAACAGTGAATGTTTTCTAAAACTCACTTTATGCAGAATTCCCTTTTTCTCCTTATAGTCTAGCTTTGGCCTTCTTGCACTTCCTTAAATACAGAACTTGTGTTTTTGTGTTTCCTATGCTCCTGATGACCTCCAGGTATTTAATTCCTGCTCAGCCTGCAGCTCTCAAGTAACTCTTGACTGCCCCAAAGAAGCCCTCTGTACCCCTTCCCTTAGAGGAGAGGCTGCTTGCCTCTCCTCAGTGGTCTTAACAACTGCAATTTTTCATTTCTTTGCATGCACCTTGAGTTACTCAAACCACGAAGTTAAATGCACTGTCTTCTAGATGGCCAAGTCTGCTAAGACACCTGATACCAACTGCAAATTTAGGGGGTTTTGAAAACCACTCTCAGGCTCAGAAATTTGCTAAAGACATTAAATTCACCAAAACCTGTGATACTCATGGTTACACTTATTACAAGGAAAGAATGCAAATTAGAACTAGCCAAAGTTGGAAGAGACCTATATGGCAGAGTCTGACCAGTTTCCAAGTGAAAAATTTCTGTCCTCAGGATCCATTGCCTCCTAGTCTTTATATGTTACAACAATACAGACAGAGGATTGTTCACCCAGGAAGCTCTCTGAGCTTGGGCGTCCAAAGTTTTTAACTGAAGGTTCATTATGTGTGCATAATTGATTGATTGACGGCTCACAGGGTTGAATTCAAGCTCTAGTTTCTGCTTTCTGGCCATGGCCAGCTTCTGCCCTAAGACTAGGCTGTATGATTGCTCCTAGCCTGAGAAACTGCTTAGTATAAACATAAATCAGATGTGTTCTGAGGGGCTCACCATGACACTCCTGCTTTTGCTGAAGAAAGTCAAGGGTGTAGAGGTTACTTCCCAGGAACTGGGGAGTGGTGGGTGGGGTTTAGGGCTGGCGGTCAGATTTCTTTTTGAGCAGGCCAAATGCTTACACACAACACTGTTAGGTAAAGAGTGCTCCCCACCTGTCCCAGTTCCAAAAGGCTAGGATCACATCAAGTTTTGCTCCCGGTTTCATTCCTCGCACTTCATGAGAAGAGCTGACTCATTGGAAAAGACCCTGATGCTGGGAGGGATTGGGGGCAGGAGGAGAAGGGGACGAGAGTGGACAAGATGGCTGGATGGCATCACCAACTCAATGGACATGAGTTTGAGCAAACTCCAGGAGTTGGTGATGGACAGGGATTTTTTCTATTATTTTTCTATTAACATAGTATTAAATGTATTGATTTGGACATATCATCACTATGTCTGATGTTCAGGTCTTTAATCATCTATAATTCTAAAGATTATGTAGGTCAATAATATGCTTAGAAAAGTACAAAAAAGTTTCCGTCTTTTCGCCTCTCTACCAGGCATTACCCCCAACCAGAGTGAGGAGTTGAATTAGAGAGAATTCAAAGTGTCTTCCAACTCCAACAAAATGTTATTTGTCCTTAGGAAACAAACTAGATATAACAACAGAGAAGACCATTTTACATGGAGACATGAAACCTATGAATGTGTAAGTTTCCATTTAAAAAAAGGAACAAAGAGAACATTCAAGTTGACTACCAAAATCCATCTATGTGAACACATAGATTTGAATTGTGGCCATAAATTTTTAATAATTTGATGTCATTTGACTCCCTGGCAAGCCACACACTATGATTATAGAAGATTTAGTGAGAAACTGATTTATTTAATCTTGTTACTTAAACTGGCCTGATGGAAGGTGATACAATCAGTTATGTCTCCAAACAAGAGATTAAGCACTTTCATATAATGCCATTAGCAATTAGAAAAAGAATCAACTTCTAAAAACATTTTTTAGTTACAAAGTAATGCATATATATTTGGGTACAACAACCAAATGATTTAACACTGATCTACTATTATTCAGCAATTATTAAATTACTGAATAATAAAAAGTAAATGTGTTCCAATCACTGTTCTTGCCATGTTCATTTTCCAGAGGTAGCAAGTGTTAACAATTTGTTCTATATACTTCTATGCATAGACACATAATAAAAAATACGTGTCTATGCTGTTATGACAAGCATCTGTAAAGTGCTACTTGTTCTTGCCATTTTAGTGTTACCGCAGGCCGTCACTCAGTTTGAAGAGCTGGTCGGGATGGCAGAGGCACTGCTCAAGGGTGGAGGAACCCTGTCCACATCCGCATCCACCCTCTGGAGAGCAGCAAATAACTCATCGCCGGATTCCTTTGCTTCTATGTGCAGTAATTCTAACTCTAATTCCAGTTCACCCATCTCCCTGAAAGCTGAGGAAGACCATCAGACGGATGAGAAGCAGGTCAGCAGGGAGACTGTCCCATCTTTCTCTGGGGTGCAGTTACAGGCAAAATGAAAATCACAGAACAACATAGTCATCGTCTTATCAGATCACTTTATGGAACTTTAGGTCAATCATAATATTCTGATGACATAAAACAATTTTTTTACAATAAATCTAATATCTGTGAAGCAAATATCCAGTTTAGAAAATAAATGGTGGACAATGATGAAGTTATTAAACTAGAAAATTCTTAAACCAGTGAGAAAAGGACAATTATGCATTAAAGGTTATAAAACTGAATTATTGAGACCAGGTGAATTTCAGCCTGTACATGCTGGCTGAACACAATTCTTTGTCTTCTATACCAATTTCTCTTAATCAAGAAACAGAAGCTAAAAATACAAGTTTTGCCTCCAACTAATAAAAATAAATGGAAAAAAAAAATACAAGTTTTGTTAGAATCAGCCTGGGAAAATGTGCCTTCAAGCGTAGTAATTACTGTCACTGCTCACAATCTAGCCTTCGGAATACTTGACTCTTAGTGTACCAGTTTCCTCCTGCGGTGTAACAGGATCCCACAAACTGAGTGATTTATGATATTACAAACACAAAGGCTATAAACTCAGGGTGCTGGCTAGTTCTTTCCTTTCTAGAGGCTCGGGGGAAGGCTCTGTTTCCTGCCCATGTGGGTTCTAGAATTCAGTTTCTCGTGGTGCTACAGCTGAGTTCCCTGTTTTCTTGTCAACTGTAAACTGAAGGATGTTCCCACATGCCCTGATCCGAGGTCTTCTTCCCCCGAATTCAAAGCCAGTGAGAGCAGGCAAACCCCTCACTCCTCGAGCCTCTCCTTCCTCTGTCTTCTTTCTTGCCCTCTCTTCTGTGTTCAAAGGGCTCACGTGAGACCTCAATAAACGTTAGCCATTTTCTTTATTATTATTTATTATTATTAAACACTTATTGTGTGCTTATTATGTACCAGACACTGCTAAGTGTGTGTATATATTTATACACATAAAATTATATATGTATGTGTGTATGTAAATATATATTCATACTTGCAATAAAGTACATGAATTTTAAGTGTAAAAAAGGTAAAATTTTAAAAGTCTCATAATTAGATTGGGCCTTTCTGAATAACCCAGCATACTCTTCAACTTTCCCCATGTCAAGGTCCTTTAATGACACCTGCAAAGTTGATTTTCCCATATAAGGTGACACATTCACAGGTTTCAGGGATGACGATGTGGTTGTTGTCCGTGGGCCATTATTCTGTTTAGTAGGAAAGGTTGAGGGTGGAATAATCCTTAAAGTGCCAAATCCAGATTACATGGCAAGAATTTGAATGCACTCTGGAACAAATACCTAATAAATATTGGGAATTTATCTCAAAAGTAACATCTAACTCTAACCCCTGATATATATATCAATATATATTAAATATATGGGCATCACTTTAAAGAATGTTGATTTTGTTTTCTGGTCTGTATTAATTCAGTGAGTAATATATTTCTTCAGATACTCCTTTCCTTTTTCAGTTATTTCAATTATTATTTTTAATTTTTTAGTTCAAGATTGAAAAATGGCAGATTGCGCGTTGCAACAAGAGCAAGCCTCAGAAGTTCATTAATGATTTAATGCAAGTGCTTTACACAAATGAATACATGGCCACACACAGCCTGACGGGGGCAAAATCCTCTACTTCACGGGACAAGGCTGTGAAACCAGCTATGAATCAGAATGAAGTTCAAGAAATTATAGGTGATATGATTGCATTATATTGTGTCACATGAATCTGAAATAATTTTTCCCTTCAACATTTAGTTGTTCTTTCATTACCTTTTTTTCTTCAAATTTATTTTTCTATGAGAGATATCTCAGGATAGCCTAAACCTCTTATGTATGATACATGGTGAATTTTGTGGAACAACTTTACATTAAAAGTGGTTAATGGGACTTCCTTGGTGGCCCAGTGGTTAAGAATGCAGAGGACACAGGTTCGATCCCTGGTCCAGGAAGATCCTACATGTTGAGGAGTATCTAAGCCCATGCACCACAACTACTGAGAAAGACAAATATGCGCCACCATGGATAGAGAAAGCCGATGAACAGCAACAAGAGCCCAGCACAGCCAAAAATTAATTCGTTTAAAAAATTTTAAGTGGTTATTAAAATAAAAATGAATTCTATATCACTAAAAACTTGAATTCATACAATTCATAGCTTTAGAAGAGTAAAGTTTCAAAATTCACTCTAACAAAATTTTAGTAACTCTTCATATCTTGTATTCTTTTTCTTATTTTGGTTAGAAATATCCCTTATCTTCTATTCAGAAAAACAAAGTTTAATGTAACCATCCTACTGACAGTTTTTAAATTAATCTCCTTAAATATAATAATCTAGGTTATCAAGTAACAATTTTAAATACTCACTGAATCCCAGCTCTCTGTATTCTGATATTACATCATTTCTTAGTTGGAAAATAGTCAGAATCTGCTTGTTTCAATTGATTCTGGGAATGGGTAAAAATAAATTCTCAGCATTTTGGGTCAAGGGCACATGGTATTCAGAACAAGCAATAAGGGTAAAGCTGGGTGGGACCATAGGAAGACTCATACATATGTTCTCAGTTTATGATATAGACCTAGTTATCTCTTGCTTTGCTTCGGAAAATCTGCCTATATAGTTTAAATATCACATGGGAGTTTGGGCTGCTTTTTCAAAATGGGGGCAAAGATTATAATGTCCATGGTGCTTGGTGTTTTATCTCAGTTCATATCTTAAGATGCAAAGTCCTGATAATGTGGGTTTTTAATTAATTTACTTATTTTTATTCAAGTATAGTTGATGTATAGTATTATATAAATTACAGGAGTACAATATAGTGTTTTGGGGCTTTCAGGTGGCTCAGTGGTAAAGAATCCACCTGCCAATGCAAGGGAACACAGGAGATGTGAGTTCAGTCCCTGGGTGGGAAAGATCTCCCACTGGCTACCCACTCTAGTATTCTTGCCTGGAGAATCCTATGGACAAAGGAGCCTGGCCGGCTATAGTCCATGGGGTAAAAAGAGTCGGACACGGCTCAGTGATTGAGCATACACACATGCAATATAGTGTTTCACAGTTTTTAATGTTTATACTCTATTTACAGTTATTATAAAATATTGGCTCTATTTCCCAGGTTGTACAGTGAACATGAAAGAGAAAGTTGCTCAGCTGTTTCAGACTCTTTGCAACCTCATGGATTGTATTCTCCAAGCCAAAATACTGGAGTGGATAGCCTATCCCCTCTCCAGGTGAACTGAAAGTCGCTCAGTCGTGTCCGACTCTTTGCAACCCCATGGACTGCCCATGGAATTTTCTAGGCCAGAATACTGGAGTGAGTAGCCTTTCCATTCTCCAGGGGATCTTCCCAACTCAGGGATCGAACCCAGATCTCCCGCATTGCGGGTGGATTCTTCACCAGCTGAGCTACCAGGGCAGCCCAAGAACACTGGAGTGGATAGCCTATCCCTTCTCCAGGGGATCTTCCTGACTCAGGATTCAAACCAGGATCTCCTGCACTGGAGGCAGATTCTTTACCAGCTGAGCCACAAGGGAAGCCCATATAACTTATTTTATGCATAATCATTGTACCTCTTACCCCCCCAGCCCAACATCGCCCCTCCCCTACTCCCCCTCCCCACCGGTAACCACTGGTTTGTTCTTTGTTTTCGTGACTCTACTCCCATCTGATAAAGTGTATTTCTGTGTTTTATTGTTGTCGTTACAGGAATCACAAAGCAATTATTTCCCAACACAGATGACGTTTCAATCAGGAGAATGATAGGGCAAAAGCTAAACAACTGTACCAAGAAGCCAAATTTAAGCAAAACTCTGAACTCTCAGGATATTAAGTAGATCCTCTCGGTAAGTCTTGTCAACCTTTGTAATCCTTTGAGTGTGGCAAGAAGATGCAATACCTGCACCCATGAGACAGCCTTTCCCAAACACTCTCCTGGAGGAGACCAGTTGGCTGTGCGAAGCTGATGAGTATTCCTGGGGGTGAAGCAAGGACAGGGAAGGGGATGTAAACTTGGGAAATGCTGGGTCAGCTACACAGATTCTCCTCTCCCAGAGTCTCTCAAATATTCTGATGCCCTTTAAACATGCCTGAGTGCAGCAGAAATCTCTAAGAAGGGCGTATGGTGTATAGTGTTTTCCAAGTGTATTTCACTGAGGAAGTTTTCTTTTTCTTCACATCTTAACTATGGGTGGAGCTAGGAGGGAGCCAAGGGAAAGACACATGACAATTTAGGAAGTGCTTCTCTAGAACAAGGTGGGTACAGACCCTTCGGAGGTCCCTGAGGTCCATCACTGGGGTGCACTTACAATGCTGAACAGAGAAAAAACCGCTGGTTGAGGGTCTCCTCTACCAGCCCATCCTGCTTCCCAGTGTCTTTAAATCTTTCAGTCAGTTGTTGTGTTTTTATTTGTTAGATGAGGATTTTTTACCAATATATTTGTATTAAAATACTCAAAGGAAGAACTATTTGTTTTTAGTGAGTTCTAAAGGAAGTTCACTTTATGGTCAGGCCTTGCCCTAGGCAAGACTGTGATGTAGAATTGTGTTTGCTTTACTAACTGAAAGTCCTGGCCTTTTCGCCTGTCCTCGCTTTTCCTCTTCATTATTTTGATGGAAAATACATGACACATGTGCATTGTTATGCTTTTAATAACTTTTAAACAGAGGTATATGATGACACCACCCTTATGGCAGAAAGTGAAGAGGAANAAGATAATGTGAAGTCCAGCTGAATTGGATGCTTTTGTTCTGGTCTTAGGAGGCTCTGTAGCCAGCTTACTTGGTGGCACATGACTCGGTTGGCTTGGAGAGTCGACTGATTATGAAAATCTTTCTCTCCAGTGCCCAGCCCCACAGACACACCCAACTGACCTTGAATTCATCAGTACCCACCTACGCCATGATTCTCAGTCTTGCTTGCACATTAGAATCACCTAGGGAGCTCTTAACACTCCCTGTACCAAGTAATTAAATCAGACCAATTAAATTACCATCTCTGGGGGGCGTGGTCCTGTCATAAGCACCTTTAAAAATTTCCCAGGTGATTATAGTGGGCAGCCAAGATTGTAAAACCCCAACTCTTTGTCTAGAGAGCATCCATCCATGAGACTGTGATTCCTTTGGCATTTCTATTTTTTCATTTTACCGAAAATGGGGTAATAGACTGCCTAGAACTCTGAGCAAGTGTTCCATTTAAAAAAAAAATTCTGACTTGGACAAACAGACTTATAGAAAATGAACAAAAGACAAAATGTCTACCAGAGGTTTGTAATTTCATAAATCTTGATTTTGTAATTGTACATTTTTCTAAAGGCAAAAATTTTATGTACCAATTATATAATATGGCAATAATGATAAAGAATTTAATTCTCAATTCCTTTGGGATTGTAGGAAAAAAGATATTTCTAAAAAAGTTTTTAATTGATTAGAGTTGATTTACAGTGTTGTGTTAGTTTTTGGTATACAGCGAAGTTATTCTGTTACATATATATTCTTTTTCATATTCTTTTCATTATGGTTAATCCCAGGATATTCAATATATGGACTTCTTTTTGACATGAGGCTACTCAGTCATATCATGGCCAAGTTCCCCATCTACGGGTCATGTTAACAGACCTCCAAGTCATAGGACTCTCTTTTGGAGCACATAATTGTGTCTGCAAAGCATTTTAATATCCTAACTTCTTCCTGTTTTATATCCCAGGCTGCTGAGGGTAGGCATGAAATTTATATCTGATAACAGCAGAATATTGAAGAAATTAAAGTTAAAAGGTTTTTCTATCAGCTTTGCTTGCACTTGCCAGTCATAAAATCACCCGGTGATGACATTAATTAAAACTGAAAGGAAGAAGAAATCTTTTGTTATGAATGCAGGAAACTCTGGTGCCTTGTGCACCTGAGCTTTGGTGCCAAGATGCTTGGAATAGAAATGCACACAGTCTGAATCAGAAGTAGAGATAAACAGTAGAATGGGATTTTTGTTTAATTGGCAGATACCTTTCATTTGAAGTATAGGCTCAATCCAATTATTTCAAAAGGACTGAGAAAATACACTGGGAAAGACAGGGTCACAGAAGACCTGATTCAGCCGTGCTTGATGAATGAGTCAGATACAGCACCACCTGGTGGAACGGTGCTACACCTTTCTCTTCTTGCTCATTTAACGAGTAGGAACCTAAAGGGACTGCATTTATCCAGGCAAACCATACTCGTCCTCACCGTGCCTTCAAAAGTATTCTTTGGAAAAATCATTGTCCTCCCATTACTGCAGTAAAAGCAGTAGATACTACAAAACCATGTAGATTTCTATAAATTCCAATATATCCAGGAAACCCAGCCGGCCTACCGGGGCTCTGGTAGACTGTGCCCCCCACGCAGGACTGAGTTCCCAGTGGCCCCCGACTTGGATTTGAGAGGACAACCATTTCCCAGCTCAGACTCGTCTTTGTGAGAATAACAGCTAAGCCCATCATGCCACTTTGAATCCACCCCCTCTCACGTCTGTGACTAGCCTGCAGCTCTCACTCTGCCTAGAGCTTCATGTTGCCAATCTTTCTGACCTTTCTCCATTGTTTTGCTTTTTTCTTACAAGAGCTATAGAAAATTTTATCTATAAGGATTACAGAATATTAGACTATCACCTCTGTAACATTCTGCTGTGGTCAAACAGCCTTCTGAAATGTCCACAGCTGCTGCAGTGTATATAATTTCTACCATAGTATTACATGTGCATGTAACTTAAAGGTGATCTAATACAGCGGTGCTCAAACAAGGTGGGAGGGATTTTGCCCCCTGCCCCTGAAAGGGGATATTTGAAAATGTCTTGGAGGCATCTGAGTTAGAGAGGAGCCAGGGATGCTGCTATACATCCAACAATATACAGGACAGCCCCCACAGCAAAGAATTACCAAGTCCAACTGTCAGTTCTGCCAAAGTTGAAAAAGTGAAAGTGAAAGTTGCTCAGTCGTGTCCGACTCTTTGCAACCCCATGGACTGTATAGTCCAGAATACTAGAGTGGGTAGCCTTTGCCTTCTCCAGGGGATCTTCCCAACCCAGGGATCAAACCCAGGTCTGTCCCATTGCAGGCAAATTCTTTCCCAGCTGAGCCACAAAGGAAGCCCAAGAATACTGGAGTGGGTAGCCTATCCCTTCTCCAAGGGATCTTCCCGACCCAGGAGTTGAACCAGGGTCTCCTGCACTGCAGGCAGATTCTTTACCAACTGAGCTATCAGGGAAGCCCAAGGCTGAGAAATCCTGAAGTAAATGATTTGCTGGTCACCAGGATGGTAGAGTAGGAAGACCCTGCCTCCCTCCTCCCAGGGGCACACCAAGATTAAACCTGTTTGCAGACCACCTATCAATAGAAATGACCTGAAGACTAGCAGAAAAGATCTACAACTAAAGATATGAAGAAGGAACCACAACAAGAAGGATAGGAGGAGTGGAGACATGGTATCAAGACCCAAGTAAGTGACCAACGAACAGGAGGATAGTCACAATTGCAGAACCTCTCCCCAAGGAGTGAAGGGTCCAAGACCCATATCAGGCTTCCCAGCTGTGGGGGTCCTGGCACCAGGGAGACAAGCCCCCAGAACATCTGGCTTTGAAGGTGCAGCTTGCATTCAGGAGAGTTAGGGGCCTGTAGGAAATAGAGGCCCCACTCAAACAGGGCATGCGCAGAATCTCACACACTTTAAGTCCCAGTTCAGAAGCAACAATCTGAAAGAAGCCTGGGTCAGACTCACTTTCTGCCCTTGGACAGCCTCCTAGACCAGCAGGAGGCAACGGGGACCTCCCTAGAGACACAGACACTGGTGGCAGCCACTGCTGGGAGCTCATTCTACCACAAGGACACTGATGCTGGCAAGCCCCATTTTGGAGTCCTCTCTAGCCTATGAGCTCCAGGACTTACCCACCCACCAGCTGGTCTCCACTAGTCTCGGGACCCCTCAGGCCGAGCAGGGACCTGGCCCCACCCTCTAGCAGGTCCGCAGAAGCCCTGGTACCCCCAAGGCCAGAACTAGCACGGGTAGCCCTGGACTCACAGCCAGCGTGCCAAGACCACACCTCACACCAGTGGGCTGACACAAGCCTCAGGACCCCCTGGGCCNCGCAGAAGCCCTGGTACCCCCAAGGCCAGAACTAGCACGGGTAGCCCTGGACTCACAGCCAGCGTGCCAAGACCACACCTCACACCAGTGGGCTGACACAAGCCTCAGGACCCCCTGGGCCCCACGGGACCTGCCCTGGATCACCCTGAGCCTGCAGCCAGCTCACCAGGATCCTGCCTTGCCCACCAGCGGCTCAGCACAAATCCCAGGGCTCTGCAGGCCTGGCAGCCAGCTCTGCCAGGATGTGGCCCCTTCCACCAGCAAACCAGTAGCTTCTGGAGGCGGCAGGGCCTGGCAGCCAACTGGACAAGGGAGAGTCCCATATACCAGCATGCCCACAGCATGCTCCACAACAGGAAGGCCCACTCAGCCTGCATGGGGCGCCCTGATAGCATACAAGGGGAGTGCACTACTGGTACCCACAGCATGTCTTCTACATAAGTCCACTTATCCAAAATTTGGATGGAAATGTAAGCAACCTATCTAGTTGTATTCAAGGGAACTTCCGTTACATTGTCAGCCAACTTTTCAACAGAAACTATGCAGGCCAGAAAGGAGTGGCACGATATAGTCAAAGTGATAAAAAGCGAAACCTAAATCAAAATATTCCACCCATCAAGGCTCTCTTTGACATTTGAAGGAGAGATAGTTTCCCAGACAAGTGCCACACTCTTTAGTTCCTCTTCACTTTCTGCCATTATATCATTTGCCTATCTGAGGCTGTTGGTATATCTCC